GTGGTCAGTCTGAGAAGATTCCTGTAAACAGGCGCTGGCTAATAAACCTTGCTGATTGAACCTGCATGGTCTCCAGGAGTTCTTTGGGCTAGGCTTGACAACCTGTCACAAATCCACCACAGAGAGCAACGGGGTGGAGAAAGAATGTGTATAGCAGCTTTTTCTATTCCATATTCTTGCCCTGTCTTCTGTGAGTTCCCATTGTTGGTCAGTCAGTATCTGCTCCTATGACTAGGCATGGTGGGGTTCACACATAAGGAGAAAGTTCCTCTTCTCCTTCTCAAGTTTTAATCATTTAAATCACACAGATTGGGTAGGAAAAGTAGTTGGAACTCAAGGTGGCCAGTATCTCTGGCAGAATATTTGGACTTAAGCAAATCTTGGAATGCTTCTGTGCAAATGGACCCCACTGGTCAAGTAAGCTGTTAATGTGAATGAGTCCTTTGACAGCTGCAACTTGGGTTTTTCAAGAAGCACCAAATCTGGAACAGAGTAACAAATGAAGGTATAGCCAGTACCACAGAGTTATCTTGGTCCTTTCCTTCAACCTTAATAAACATTGACTTGCAACACGTTGGCTTTGAAGACCATGATGTGCCACAAAAAGAAGTCCAGTTGCATCATCTCCAGCTCCAGCCCATTTATTTTATGGTATTGGATTCTTTCCTCTGCCAAGTTTCCAGGAGCTGAGAATGCAGATCCTTCTTCAAACTCAGCCTCCTAGAAAACCGCTGGAGAAAACTGCGAAATATGGATGTCCGAAAAATGATGAAGACCCAGGGGTCCACAATGGAGTTCACAGAGAAAAATCGGAGGGCTGTAAGATCTGCTGCCTCATCTGCATCTGGGGCAAAGGCTCCAATGTAAGCTCGGATCTGTAAAAGGTGAGAGATGGAAAGAGAAAGTGACTTACAATTGATTGGGATGATAAAGAATGAAAGTACTTCATAGGAATGCCTGGGGATCTTGTAGGGCAGGGTTCCTCAACCTTGGTGATTTGAAGATGTGTGGACTTCAACTCCCAGAATTCCCCAGCCAGCCATGGCCCTGGAGTAGGTATACAGAGATTGTTAGCAAAATGTGAATGAAGCCCAGGAAGGGAAGAAGGTATTAGAAAGAGAGTGACCCTGCCTTGATTCTGTTTGGTGTAAGAAGGAGGGAAGGGAAAAGACGGTCAGCCTTTCAAGATTCTTTTATTATAGCCTACATCAATAAAGTAGAGTTCTCGTATTTCTTGTGGAATCTGTTTCCTGATTTAGCTTTCCTCAAAGGGCTGACATGTTTTCCACCCACATTTAGACTATTCTTGAGACACATAAGAAGGCAGGCTATAAGAAACATGGGGTCAATTGCTTCTGAAGCTTCATTTATTGTCAGCCAATGAAAACTCGAACATTAGGAAGTGTGATGTGGCACCTTGAACACAATTTTCACCTTGCTTATAAGCTTGCTTAAATTGCCACAGTTTGTAATTAATCTGCAGTTCTCAATTACTATGCTGATTTAGAAAAGATACTACCTTTAGCCACTCATGTAAACTGTTTTCAGGGGATGTTAGTCTAGTGCAGTGTTTCTCAAACTTGGCAACTTTAAGATGTGTGGACTTCAACTTACATCTTAAAGTTGCCAAATTTGAGAAACACTGGTCTCAACAAACACAGCAAAGATGGTTGCAGTGGTCATTCATGAAGGCAATGCTGTTGGTCACACCAGAGGCTGACCTGAGAAAATCTGTTATCTTTGTTCAGACTACGAATGGTAGAATTGAATTCTTGACTAGACGCACATTTCTAAGAAGCCATGAGAACAAGACTGTTCATTTTGCTATGCATGTTAATTTATTTCTTGTCGAATCTAGAACCTCGCTTTTAAAACTACTATAGTACTTAGAATATAACAAGATCACCATTTTATTTACAAATGTATGTAGGTAGGATACATTCATTCAACATTTAGAAGCTAATTAATTGCTTTTCCTGGCATCCAGCTTGGGGATGCTTAAGAGCAGAGAAGGCACTCTCTAAAGCAGTGTTTCTCAACCTTGGCAAGGCTGGCTGGGGAATTCTGGGAGCTGAAGTCCACATATCTGAAAGTCACCAAGGTTGAGAAACACTGCTCTAAAGGGTTAGGGGCATGTTCCAGTAATCCTAAAAGTGCAAGTGAATAAAGAACTTTGGTTGCTGTTGTTTTGTTGTCAGTATGGCTTAGACTTCTAGGAGTTATACTTCCAATAATTCTGAAAGACTCCAAGCTGAGGAGGGGTCGGAAAGCAGCAGGCTGACCTGCAGGGATAGAAATGCTACTAGCTGTAAATCCTCTGCATCTTAAAAGCTCCCCCCCATTGGAGAAGGAAAAAAAAAGAAAGAAAAAGATTATTATATTGACATTCCACTGTAGAATAGACCCTCTAGATCAGGGTTTCTTAACCTTTTGGTGCCATGAACTCCCTTGAGAGTCTGATGAGGCCCCTTCTTAGAAAAAGTGATTTAAATGCATAAAATAAATATATTTGTATTACAAGTATTACATGTATTACAAAGGCAATCAATTATGCTCAAATACAGTTATCAAAATATTAAATATGACACATATAATATAGTCATAGATGTGAAAATAAAGTTGTAAATTGTTTCTCATCCTAGTTAGGCCCCCTGAAATGTGTCCATAGATCCCCAGTTATGAACCCTGCTCTAGATGTCTGGACTACAACTCCGATCTTCTGTCTGGAAGCATTAGCCTTGCTGGTTGGCAATGATGGGAGCTTCAGTCCAACACATCTGGAAGGCACCAAACTGGGAAAGGCCAAATTTTACACTGAATGTTTTCCATGAGATCCATAATTTATCTGACTCCATAAGAATCTCTAGTGTAAAAAGTAATGTAAAATTATGTTATTAGCTGAAATAAAAAAAATAATTTGCAGTTCTTTGCAACATCAGTAGTTATGCTCTTCTCATCTTGTTTAATATCCCATTTTAGAATTAGTTCCAAATCCTTATTATTTATACCACAGCATGGAGGGGGCGCTTGGGGGGAAGCACTACTCCCTTGAGGGAAATCTGAAATGATCAAGTGCAGGTGATCAATAATTTTCATTCAAGACAGTAACACTCAACAGTCCCAAGAGTTATTTCAGTATTTTGGGATTCCCTCACTTTACTAAACATGGAGAACAAATTCATAGGGAGAAGGAAGCTTGATTGCAAGGGCTCAGATTAACATTTTGGCCCCAGGCCATTCAGAAGCTGTAATCAAAGAACACTCTTAGCTTGGTTACTGAATTAACCCATTTTCTGGATTAGCATAATACCCCAAACCATAAATTAACTGAATAATCTGGGTTGAACAAAACAATATCAAATAATAATAATAATAATAATAATAATAATAATAATAATACATCTTAACCAAGTTTCAAATTAACCAAGCTTAGGCATTTTGCAAACCCAGTTATTAAGTTTGTAATTGTTAAACATATTTGATGAACCCAGCCAAAGTCTTCAAAAAGCCCCAAAAAGATGGAGTTCAGGGAAAACTTAACTTACTCACTCCTGAACAAACCTTGATTACATTTTTCCCATGAGCTGAGCTGAAAACTAGCCAGGTTTGGAAGGGGAATTGTGGCAGGATCAAGGGTGTCTGCTGGGAGGGCTTGAAAAAATCAAGATGACAGCTACAACCCTGCAATTGAAGCTCTGCCCCCCTTTTATGGGCATCACGTGCATGCCCCTTTATCTGTTTAATTTACTTTCCCCTTGGAAAAACACACAAAGAAGCTGCTATAAAGTGTAATCATTTAACCTGTGTAAGTTTAGCTCTGTAGCTGCATTCAGTATCTGAAAGGCTGGCTAGCTATAACCTTGGCTAAAATCGCAGTACCACCAACAGCATTGACATTTTCACTTTGCAGGGAGGGTGCAAAGTAAAAATGTTCTACTTGCACACCACACCAGATAAGAAGACCAACTGACCACCCTAGACCTGAGCTTGGCATTATGTATATGTATATATATAATAGCACAGGGAGTACATATTCAGACCTCCCAGGACTCCATACAACCTGTCCCAATCCAGGACCTTCCAAATGTGTTTGGAATCTAAGAATGTCCAAACATCATAACTGAGTTTGCAGTCCTAACGCATCTGAAGAGCATAAAGTTAGGGACAGCAACTCCACTGCCTTACTGTACTTCCTGCATCACTGATGCTCTCATTCTTCCGGAAACTTGGAAGTTCTGCAATAAGTTGAGCCTGCAAGCCAGTCAAGAACTATAAGGCCCGAAGAACTTGTTTGGAAAGGCTGAACACGCTCCTCTCACCTTGTTCGGCTCAAGGTTTTACCAGCCCATCTTGACCACATCATCTAACTCTATCCTTTTAAGTCCAGGTCTAACCGTTCTATGGCTTCATCCCTCCGTGATCCCACAGGTCATTCCAGTACTCCAGTCGCTTGCTCTTCTTGAACATGACCCTGTTGGAGCAAATCTATTGCTTGTATCCTCATCTCCTCCCTTACTGATCACATACTTAAAAAGGCAAGGAATGTCCACAAGGAGCATGATTCTCAGCAGGTTTTCATCACACTGACAAAAACAACAATGTAATTTTTTTATCCCATCAAACTCCCCCCAAAATTTCTTTTGATTTACAGATAGCTGGTTACTGCTTTGGTTTGCATAAATGTGCTGCTATGCCAGGAAAGCAGATAAAGAGATAATGTACACATCCTCTGGTCTACAGAAGTGTTTCTTTTTGTGGTCCTCTTACCCCTTGATGATTTCTAAGTTTAGCACATGTAATATTATCTAAAGTAGATGCACTTCTCTGTGGAATGCAAATAGATTTGAAACTGACTGTGATGTTCAGGATGAGGATGTGACAGAATCCAGATGGGAGTTGGCATGACAGAATGTTCCCCAAAGCAAAAATTCCCAGCATGTAGAAAACCAGCACAATCTTTCTCTAATGCTAGTTTTCTACATGCAGGGAAGTTTTGCTTGTATGCAAGCTCTTTAAACACTGTCTCAGGAGGGGAGCAATTGTACGTGCTACTTCTGCACTCAGATATTCTATTTTTATGTACTTCTACGTTTCTGAACACTATTGCCACACTGGGTCAGCATCTATAATATGCTGACTTAGTAGGGGGAAAATTGCAGAACTTGCAAAAGAAACCATTTAGCCTTCTCTGCAACAAGCAAGATGACACATACAAAAGAAAAAAACAGTCTGTATAAATGTAGTCTGCAAGGTTTTGTACTTTGGAGCTTTGACGAGTCCTTCAAAGAGGAAAGCCAATGATTGCACCAAATTGCAAGATGGCAGAGCAGCAGCTGTGAGCCAGCCTGTCTAATGGAGCTTTTGCCTTCCCAAGTGAGATTCAAGATAAGCACTATGGTTAAGAGGCTTCTCTTGGATTGGTTTTAGCAGATAGTTTCAGATAGTTTTGGTTTGTCCCACATCATATAGTTATGGCCAGAGCTGATGATGGATAGTGCCATTCCCAGCCCCCGTTTCTCTCTTTTTCCTCCCATTTTCCTTATGCAGGTCTCCTTTTCCATAATTGTGGACCCTGAAGTCTGAGCAAAAAGCAGCTCATCCAAAGAGGTCAAAAGCAGGTCACAGGGTTACGTGTGGTGAGTCAGGTCCCCCATTCTCGGTAAACATGGGAACATTCAAATCTGCCCATGTATGGAGGTTTGCCTTTGGCAATTGCTACCATCTACCGTGGGAAGAATGGTGCTGAAGGAGAAGGCCTCATCCATGGTGGTGCTTGCTGATGGAACTCCTCCCAGGGTGGCTGGCCTCACACCTACTTTGCCATCTTTTTGGCACCAGGTAAATAAACCATTTATTCTCCCATGCTGTTAAAACA